GTTAGACTAGATTATTTTTCTGTTTTCAATCTTCTGCTTTTACTCATTTTAAGTACAAATTCTTTAATTATAATAAATGCATGTCTGGCACTTAACTATATAATCAGTATTTTTAATTAGATTATCTATGTACGACTAGTTTTGTATTTTACGATCATGAGATGAATATTTTGCACTTTATTTTTATAGGTAATTGTTATATCTCTGAATGCTATCGTTTCATTGATGTTATCATACAGAGTTTAAGTTATGATTGTGAAAATATATTAAAATGAAATAAAAATTTTCATGGCAACGTTAGATAATTAAACACTAATTTAACTAGGATCATTGATTTTTTCCGATGTTCATTGTTGAAAAAAAAACAAAAGGTTTAATAATTAGTAATGCATAAAAAAATCCATGTTGTAAATTTAAGGTTTTAAAAATCAAAAGAATTTTCTTATATATATATTTCTTCAACAGAGGTTTATCAAAACATATCATAGATATTATGAGACAATGTCTAGTTTATAAGTGAATCTAACCTTGTAAATCAATTTTCAAGTTGTTCATAGAAATTACAAGAGACGAGAAAGAAACAATAATCAACCATGTATTGACTTATTCACTGCCAATTATTTCTGACATTTCTAGATATTAATCTTGAATATTGTTATTCATGAATAATGTTTTTCTGGAAGAGATAAAGTTAATCTTAGTTTCTCTAGCTATTGTAGCGTATATTTAAAATTGTATATTCATTCTATAATCTTATGAAATTATATGAATTACCTAATGTTAGATTTTATAAGATATTGAATACAGAATGCTAATAGAAGTTTTATATGAATCATAACAATTTGAAGTCACCTACAGTAACTCTTTTTTTATACTGCGAAAATAACATCATATACTTTGTTAAGTGTTTAATTTTCATTAATAAAGTAACCATGCAATATGACTAGTTTCAAAGTAATCTGTTTTACTTTAAAATGCACTAGATGCACTATGCTTAATTGCGAAACAATATTTATGCCATCCATTTATATTTAGCAGTCGACAAAAACTATTTTAATTGACATTCACCTGTTTTGTACAATGACAAATAACAGTATTTCTAGTTGAAATCTAAAATCATACGTATTTTTACTCTTGTTTTATACTGGTAACGCAAACATACACGCGTTCTTTTCGTCAGCAGAATGTATTAAAATTTAGAATAACAAAATTTTATAAAGAATATACTAAAAAACAAGGAAATAAATATTATCTTTTTTTCATTTCACAAAAATACCTATTGAGGATGCAATAAAAGAGATAATAAGTGAAAAATACATTTTTATTCTTTTTTTCTTAACATAATCAAAGAGATACTGGAGAATAAAAGAACAAAGTAATGTATGCTGGAAGAAAATAGAATAAGTTAAATGTACTGGATTTTCATTTAAAAAAAATACATATCATCATCATCATTTTGAAAACAAAGGATTATTTTATTTATTGAGCAAAGTGTTCTACATACATTCTGCTATTCAATGTAAAATATTCAACAGCCTATTTATCGAAATTAGTAGATGTTCTGTATATTTTGCTTTTGCTTGGTTTACCTGCAATTAGAAACACTAGCAAATAATTACAGCATGACATATTATGAAATCTCTAGTTCATTTTTGTCTCAATGTCATTACATACTGACCATCTGTTAACATTATTTATTGATAATGATCCTACTACCACGATAATTTTTTTATCTGAATTTAATTTTAAATATAAAAGTCCTTTTTTTGTACTGCATTCATACAAAATAAATTAGTGTTATAGAAAATATTGATACTAAACAGCTATAAATATCTTTTACAGTTGTAAATGCACAGATCTGAATTTCTCGAGGATGCTCTTGTATTATTTTGAAGACAGAATTATAAAATATAACTCCTGAAAATGAAAACTATTTTATAGTATTCATATATGAATAATATAGCATTAACTACTATAACATGAAGCAGTTGGAAAAGAGAAAATTAACGTAACTGGGACGATTAAAGTACAAGAAAGGCTTTTATTAAGTTTTTACTTTGATGTTATATCGTTCAGATTGTATTATTCTATTCGAACAATACTACCAGTGACCTCAATGAATTGTTTTATATTTTGTAACATTCTATAATAGGGTAAATTTATTGACAGAAAATAAATAATGTTTTAACATAATTTATTAATTAATTGTAAAAAAAAAATACTGGCAGGTAAGTATCCACTCTCAAATGTGTCATTATTATTTATTTCTTATAAAATCTATACAAAAAGAAAATTTTGTAGATATACTTCAACCAAACTTCTATTTTCTAACTACATCATTTGGATTAAAAAAATGTAGCCTGTTGTTATTATTTTCATATATTCAAACGTGAATTACCAGATCTGTTGTCACGAAGATTAAAAACTCTAGTATTATTGCAAATTACTTTCCAAAAAAATTGGCCCAATTTCTATTCGGTCGTTACAAGAAAAGGCATATAGAAGTTTCCATTAATTTAACTGCTTCAACCATAAGCTATTTGTATAGTTTGATGACAAATAAACATTGTCAAATGCGTGTTTCGTTTACAATGGACGTCGTTTTGTTTTTATTGTTTATAGAAAATGTATACATAAAAAAGAAAAAAAAA